TCATCTGCTTGATGTCCATGCCCCGGCGCCGCTGCGAGAGGGAGAGCAGGGGCTGTGCCCAGGCTGCACTGGGGCTGTGCCCAGGCTGCACTGGGGCGGTGCCCAGGCTGCACTGGGGCTGTGCACCATCCCAGGGTGACACTCACGTCGTACTGCGCCTGCAGGTTCCGTGACTTCTGGCTCAGGAAGCCAAAGACGTTGGAGAAGTGCTCATTCCGGATCTGGCTGAACACCTGCGCGAGCAGCACAGCTGCCAGGGCCCGGCCAGCTGCAGTCCCGGGACAGAGCCAGGGCCAATGCCCCCCACACCCCACACACCTGCTGGCAGTGCCACCCGTGCCCCAGAGCCCTGGCTGGCAGCACAGCAGCCCGTGTCAGCGTGTCCCTCTGAGCCAGGCCACACCAGGTCTGGGAAAAGCTCCTCAAGGGTCAGCCCTGAGGGTCCCCCCCAGCTCAGCAGAAACTCTCTCTCTTCCTAGGAACTAGCACTGTCTAACCAGCTACTGTCTTTTAATAAACAGCCTGGGAAAATTATTTTTGTAACCTGAATAAAGACCCAAGTGGAGTAATATTTTCACTGTCAAATTCCATAGTCAAATACCAACCTGAATTGTGGCCAGGATGGAAAATTACTATGAACCTCGTGATTCAACAGGAGGGTCTGCTGTATTCCTTTCCTACCCTTGGGATTCCCCCCTCATTCCCCACCTCCACCTCCACGGAGATATTTTTGAGTTGATTTTGGTTTGGATGCATTGATTTATAATTTTTTTTTCATCTGTGTGCTTTAACCATTTAGAACTTTGTCAACGAATTTTGTCAAGCTGCAGTTTTATATTAAACCTGGTTTTGCGCATAGCTGTGCTGGGGATTCCCTTAGTGACCTTAAAGCACTCCTCTGTGACACAGCGCTGCACGCAGGGACTCTGACAGGTTCAGGAGTGGAGCTGCACCAGGTTTCTGTGCTCTCTGTGCCTGAACCATGCTCCCAGGGCCCAGCAGCCCCAGCCACTCCTGCTCAGCCTTAGGGGGGAATGGTTCACTCTGCCTCCTCCCACCAAGGGATCCCCCGAGCCTTGTGAGGACTCACTTTGTCCTGGGAATTGAGCAGCACTTTAATACTCTTGTCAGAAGAGGTGACATCTGGCCCAAAATCCACACTGCCTGCAGGGAAAAGCCAAGAGCTGCTTTGTCCCAGACACAGCAACATTCCCACATGCACGAGCCTTGCTGAAAGAGGCAGCACAGACAGGGGATGCCAGCCCAGTTTCTTGGGAAAAGAGAGGATGACCTCCAGCAGCACACTGGGACTGTCCCTGTGGGAACAGCACCGTGCCTGACAATGCCAGGCACAAACCTGCACANGCCAGGCTCCCTGCTGACAGCCTGGCACGGCCACGCAGCAGGAGCTTAGCACAGAGCCACACATGGCCAGAGCCAAGCGTCACCTCGGCCCACTCAGACGGGACAGTGCTGCCGCTTCCAAGCTGGGAATGAGCCGGCAGACCCCAGGGCAGTGGCTGGGGCCCAGCAGGGACAGCCCTAGGCTGGCATTCTCAGGCTGGAGCCAGGGACACTCCCTGGTAGGAGCCAACATGCTCAGCTCTGTACTCACCCGCTCCTGCTTCTCCTTCTCCTTCTCCAGCCGGTACTGCTGCCACTGCTCTGACACATACTCCACGAACTGCTGCCCCTTCACCAGGAAAGGTCCCTTGAACTCCTCCTCCCAGGTCTGGACCTTCCTCTCCAGCTCCTCCTGCAGCTGATCAGGACACGAGGGCAGTGTAGGGGCTGCCCTGACCGCAGGTGTCCCCACACCCAAGGATCCCTTTTCCTCTGTCAGTGGGACCACAGGTCCTTCCCCAGGGCTGGACCTACCCTGGACAGCGTCTTCTGCAGCTTTGCTCGCTGCTTCTCCTCCTTCAGAAGGTTTCCTCCTCGATTGGTGAAGCGACTGGGGTCATTTGCTTTACTCTGGTAGAGAAGGGTGGTCAGGAGAGGCACAGACACACCACCCAAACCCCTCAACCTCACAGGTGAAGGCCCCAGAGGAGCCAGCCCTGCACAAACACCCCAGTGCTCGAAACACAGCACCTCATCCCTGCACTGGCCCCCCATGGCTCCCCAGTGGCTCCCTGCTCCTTCCAGAGCGCTGTCCCAGGGGAGCAGAGGCACAGCCTGACCCACAGCTTCCCATGCTCCTGCCTGGACAATACCTCCAGCTCCAGGAACAGCTTCCAGTTCTCCTCCCACTTCTGAACAGCCTGAAACAGATCTTTGTGTCTTTCATAGTGGATCTTCATCTTTCCCACCTCAGCGTCATGCAGCTCGAGCAGGGTCTCTGTGTAATCCTCTGGAGGGGCACAAGAGCCAGGTCAGGGGGCTGCTGGAAGCCCTGGGATCCCTCCCCACATCTGCCTGCCCAGCCAGCACCCACCATCATAGAAGGGGCTGAACCTTTCCCTCTGCTCTTGGCTGTAGAAGCATTTGTCCCAGTAGTCAGCCAGCTCTGCCCGAATGGCGTGGATGACGGATTTCATGTTCTGCAGCTTCAGCTCCTCCAGACGGTCCACCTCCTGCTGCAGCTGCCCCGGAGCAGAGCAAGGTCAGCAAGGAGAGGGGAGAACAGAGGGGAGAACAGCGTTCATCTTCTGCATGAGCCGCTCTCTAGAGAAAGCAGCTGCAGCACCAGCCTCCAGCTCCTCTCTCCACAAAGGCAGAATTCCCCCGCTCCCCTCAGCCCTCACCGAGCAGCCAGGAGCAC